CTTTTTCCTTTCTTTTGCCTTCTCCTTTTAATATATAAATAAATATAAATTTTTTTTTTTTTTTATTTTCTTCGACCGACTGCATTTCCTCACTCCTTCTCTTCGCCTTCGCCTTCGCCTTCCCCCCCTTCTCATTGTTCCCACCACCACCACCGCCCCCCCCCCCCCAAATACCAGCGGGGGAAAACGCCACAACTAAATAATAATAATAATAAATAAAATAAATAAAATAAAATAAATACGGATGGTGAGAGTAAAGAACAGGAAACAATCAAGAGAGAACAAAAACACGCCCCCCCCCATTTACAGGGAAAAAAAAAAAAAAAAAAAAAAAAAAAAAAAAAAAAAAACAAAAAACAAAAACAAACAAAAAACGACAACAAAGATAAGAAAAGTACAAAAATCGGACAAAACATAAATTTCATGCAAGAAGCCGCTCACACCTTCTCCTTCTCCCCCACACACGCACAAAGACTCCTACCGCTTCCTCGCAAAAGCTGCAGTCACATTGCAATTGACTTCCGACGGTAACTTGTTGAAAGAAAAGACCCCTCATAAAACGATGATGTGACGTGGATCCCCCTCCCACCCCTTTCGCGTCGCACCAAAATAGCCGCCACCGAAGCAGCAACGGCATCCATGCAAGATGGCAAAACAATATTCAGCAGAAAAGTGCCCAGGAAAGAAAATGAGAGAAAAAAAAAAAAAAAAGGAGAAAAACAAAGGAGGTCAGCGCAATAAACGCAGAAATCACACTTCGTCGGGGAATATTGTCTCATCACGTCCGTCGGGAAAGACAACCTTGTAGATACCGTCGGGGTAGAGAATCTCCTTCTTTCCATCTGGAAGGTGTCTTTCAATCTGACCAGAGGAGTGAAACTCAAAAACCTGCACACCGTCAGCGTGTTGGGTATGTGTTGTTTGCGCGACAGCGTACCAGTAAGTGCTCTTTCCCGATGGGAACGTACGCTTTATGTCTCCGTTGGTGAAGTACAGAACCACATGACCAGAGGGAAGGATAACTTTCCGCGTACCGTTTACGTAGTGAATCTCCCGCTTTCCGCTACGGTACAGCAACTCGCGCTTGTTCGGATTTTCTCCCAGAGCCGTTTGTGACACAACGGCGTCATTTGGGAAATCCTCGGCAGGTGTTGGCTCGTCGTCTGCTACAAGTTCTTCCGCCGTTGGTGTTCGGCGAGGTTTGCGCGAAATGGAAACAGCAGAACTCACTGACGAAGCCTGCAGCCGAGACGCGTTGCCTCTGGATGCATTTTGTGCGCGGGGGGTGTTGATTGGATGGCCGGATACTCGTCGCTGGCTGCGTAACTCCTGCGACTTGCCTCCCGTCACTCCCTCCTCTCCCCGTGCATGTTGCTGTTCTTTTCGCTGCTCCTTCTCTTCAGCCTCAAGACGCTTCCGCTCCTTCTCTTCAGCCTCAAGACGTCTCCGCTCCTTTTCTTCAGCCTCAAGACGCTTCCGCTCTTTCTCAGCCTCAAGACGTCTCCGCTCCTTTTCTTCAGCCTCAAGACGCTTCCGCTCTTTCTCAGCCTCAAGACGTTTCCGCTCCTTTTCTTCAGCCTCAAGACGCTTCCGCTCTTTTTCAGCCTCAAGACGTTTCCGCTCCTTCTCTTCAGCCTCAAGACGCTTCCGCTCTTTTTCAGCTGCCATGCGCCTTTGCTTCGCTTCCCAGATAATGTCATTGCTTTGTTGTTGTTGCATGCTACTCCCAACCGTCGAGCGAAATTCCGGAAAGTCAAGGACTTCTTCGCAGCTTCTTTGAGTACTAACACTGCTGCCTACATTTGGACGCCAAGCGTTTGATGTAATCTGCAAGACTGGCGCTGGCGAATTTATTTTCGAGCTGTTCTCGAGCGCGGCAATCTGCTGCTCTCTTGTCATTTCTAGCAACTCTTCGTTGCGCCGTGTCAAGGACTCAATCTCGCGTCGCAAACGACTGGTCTCCGCCTTTTGTAGCTTCTGTGTTTCCCGCATGTGGGTTGTCATTCCTTCCAGCTGTTGCCGTAGAAGTTCATTTTCCTGTGAAAGCTTTTTGTTGGACTCCCTTTCGTTCTTCAGGAGCTCTAGTGTAGATCTGTACCGTTCTTCTACCACCTTGACATCCTTTTTGGCCTGCCAATTCTCTGATGCCCGTGCAGCGTTCAAGTCCGCACGCTCCTCTTCAATCTCACGCTCAATCCCGTTGCGGTATTCTTCAAAGCGCTTTCTATCGCGATCTAACTGCATTTTAAGCTGATGATATCGTCCTCGCTCTTCTTGAACTGCATGTAGCTCTTCTTCAAGTTGCTCTACTAAATTATCTTCCTCACGTGTGGGACGATAACCTTGAAGTTGTGGACGCAAAAAATAGTTCCGAGCGCTTCGCGGATACTCATCTTCTTGACCCATGGGATCCAAATAACGACGCAAAGGGGGATTACGCGTACCCCCGTTATCTTGCACTTTATCCTCGCCTCGATACCGCCGCTGGACTGGACGCTGCCATTTCATGTCCTCATATTCCTCCTCCCGTCGCGGTGTGGAGTGGCTTTGGTTCGTGTTCAACCGCTGCCCTACTACTTCCGTCGACCTGTCCGGATCATCGGAGCCACGTGACCGTTGCCGCGGCTTTGCTGTGGCCAAAAATGCTTCATTTGAATCCAAATCCTCATCTATATCCCGCTCGGGTTTCTTTTCTAATTGTTCTTGCTGTTGCCGCTGCGGCTGTTGTTGAAGCTGAGAAAGCCCACGCTCCTGAAGAGAGAGTTCAAGAAAATCTTGCGCCTCTTCGCGCGCAGCGGGGTTGGGCGGCGGCGTGCGCTTTGGTACAGCGATGACAACTTCTGCAAAGGGGTCGTGGTTCTTTCCCCTGCGCATGTCATTGGCAATGGCCTCTCGCAGCGATCGGGACCCCCGTCGTTCGCTTGATGGACTGTCACGGTGAGCGGCATAATGATTCTGATTGTTCGCTGACAACGGTGAGTCTGGTTGGCACGTGTAAGAGAGCCGTCCTTCATCCTTGCGCAGGAACTTAAATGGTGCATTCTTTGGTTTGCTTTTACGCGATGCAGAGACGGTTACGCTTCGTGAGGAAGAATGACTCCGAACGGGTCGCGGTATTGGAATGTCCGACATGTGTCCCTTATCGTTCGTGCAGCCGTGATGTGTGTGTGTGTGTGTGTGTGTGTGTGTGGAGAAAAAGAAAAACAAACAAACAAAAACCCGACGACGCTCCTCCCCTCCACTTCAATTGGTGTCAAAGCGCCAGAATCCGCACGCCCCTCTCCTTCCCTACCTTCCTTGCCAGCCAGAGGTCAAATGAAGGAAATCGTATACTAAAAACGACGACGACAACAACAACAACAGCAAGGAAGGGGGAAAGGCACGTAACTCCCCTCCCCCCTTACCAGGTCGCGGTTTATTATTTTTCTTTTCTTTTTTGCTTCGTTATGCACCCGAACAGTGAAGCACAATGACGGGCAAAAAGAAAAAAAACAGAAACAACTATTTCCCCCTTTTTTTTCCTTTTTTGGTTTTGCGTTGTGATAAACCCGGAGATCAAAAGAAAAAAAAAAAAAAAAAGGGAGTGAAAGACCACAGACAAACAGAGAAGAGGGACAAGATCGAGTTCTGGTAAGCCATACTCCAGAATAAACACTACAGGGAGACGCACATATGGTCACGCGCCGCGAGGCAAGGGACAAAGATGTATGTAAATATCAATGTGTATTGTTGGAGGGAAGTGTAACTCACCGATACACACAAAAAATCACACAAATACGGCAAAGGAGGAACAAAAACAACAACAAAAAAACTCTATGCACGGTAGTGGCTATTCCATTACCTGATCCACCACGCGAGAGGATGAAAATTTCTTAGACAAATCAGCCGTATCATCCGGCCCCACGGGCTTAATACCAGCATTTGCAAAAAATTCCTCCGGCGGCGGCACAGGAACAAAAGCAACCAAAAAGGCGGCAAAGATAAAGTAGGCACATGCCATGATGGTGGCAAAAACAACAAATGACAACACGAATAGCCACCACAACGAGAGCGGCGTCGAGGTTGTTACCATTGTTGTGGAAAAAGGAGTGCCCGTAACAATATGTGAGGATACGTTGGAAAATTCCTTTCGTACCATCGTCGACACATGTCCTTCAAAGCGCTCCGCAAGCCCTTCTTGTGTGCGCAGAATCTCTTCTATAATGGTCGCTGAGCTTCTGCTCACTGCTGCCTGCATTTCTGCACCGAGGCCACCCAATTTGGAAACATCCCGCGACACCTCCTGGACCCTCGAGAGTAATGTTGCAGCGCTCTGCTCTTCTCGGGTGTCGCGCTTATCCAACTTATCTCGTACAGAACGCAGCGGCTCTGTACAGGCTTCCACAATAACACCTTGAAGAGCTGTTGGCATCTCGTGCTTTATGGCCAGATCAAGCACATCACGCCACTCTTTATGCCCATTTTGAATTTCTTTGGTAAGCACCGCAGTGTGGCCCTCCTGTAATTTCTCTAAATTGTTTAATCTATCATTTAACTGGGAAGCAACATGCCGTTGCTGCGTCTCGATTCTTTCACTCTTGGCATCAAGGTCACTTTGAAGCTGCTGCAGCTGATGTTTTGTTGATTCAGCAACGATCTGCTCACTTGATGAAAAAAGACGCTCTAAAGTTTGCTGGAGAGCATCGTTGACATCCTTGACCAATGCTGCCTCTGCACCAGCCGCCTCTTCTCTAAGCTTCAGCCTGTGCGCATCCAGTGCATCAAGAATTGTCTTTATTGTACTCCCCTCCTCTCTATTGAGACCTCCCGTCGCAAGAAATGAGCGAAGGACAATCAATTTCTCCCTCATTTGCTTCACCTGCGCGCTTCGGGACGTCTGCAAATGTTTGATAAGAATGTCTACATTCTTTAAGTGTTGACTGACGTCTTCCGATACGGAGCCCTGATTCGAAGGCACCTCTTCTGAAGGAAGCCCCACAGCAGCTGCGTCAGCATCAGCCTGGGTCATTTCATCAAGTTTACTGTAAAGCCCCTGCAGTCGCTCGTTAAGTCGAACCTCCATTGCCTCCAAATTCTCTTTGGTAGAAGTCGCATCGGCAGGAGCTGGGGCCTCCTGGGCGGAACGATACTTCTGAACTTCCGAAAGAATCTCCTGCGTGACCACGGAAAGGTTTTCAAGCTGCGACTCAATGAATTCTCCACTCACAGCTTGTTGTTGTTGTTGTTGCTGCTGCTGCTGCTGTTCTTGTGGTGGTGGTGGTCGATGTTGTGGCTCCGACGGCGGTGAGTTGAACACTGAAGTTTTCATGTTCTCCAGCAATCGACTCACTTCCTCCAGTTTCAACCGCATTGCCTCCACGGATGTCGACACGCCCTTGTACTCCACTTTAGAGGAAATAAGCTCTTCAATCCGTCGTCTTCCGTCTTGCACCTCCGTTTGGAGCTGACTGAAGTGGCGCGAGAGATCAGAAGTCATCTTTGTGTACAAAGCCTCTGTCCTATTCTCCGTGGCGCTTAACTGTTCCTTGATTCCATCGACAGATGCAGTACTTGATCGTGCCAAATCAGACACCGTCTTGTTGATGGACGTAAGAACTTGCCCAGCCGCATCATTACCCCCTTTAATGATTTCAACGCCTGCCTGGATGTCCTTCAAAGCTGTTTTTACGCTGGCATTGTGATCTTTCCCTGCTGCATAAGACTCATGTATGGAGTTTTCCACGGAAGATAATCGTGTCTCCAAATTTTCAGGCAGACGATCGGCTGTAGCACGAACCTCCCGCTGCACCACTTCAAGTGATGAAAGCAATGAAGTGGAGTTGCTGGTCAACATTTCATTGATTTCTCCCAAAAGGCGATTGTTGAGCGTTGCAAGTTCCTCGGCTGTAAATATGGGGGGTCTTGCGTCGTCGTCACTTGACCGTTGGCGAGCCCGTTCCTCTTCAACAAGCAACTTTTGCTGTTTTTTCAGCTGCCCAAGCAGAGTTTCGACCACACTCTCAACTTTAACTTGCGTTGCCTCCTGCTGCTTACTTAGTGCTTCTTGAACCCCAGCGAGGACCTGGTCCAGATAGTTCTGGAAAGGTGTGAGATCGACCTCGTGCGTGCGTCCCATTTCCTCTTGCACGGTTGCAATGATGGTTTCTTTTAAACTCTCCAGGCGTGCCATTAGGGCCGCATCGTTTTCCCTTGAGGTCAGCGACTCCATCAACTCCTTGGCGGGGACCACATCCTGCACGACATCTCGCACACTCTCGGCAATCGTCTGGGCAAGCGTGATAAGCTGCTGTTCACCTAATCCCGTTGTGCCCTCATCCACGTCAGAGACGGTAACCGTAGAGGGACGCGGAGTTTCCATCTTTGCCACCGCCGCGGCTAACTCGTCTAGCTTTGGGCCGAGGACTGCCGACACAGCCTCCACCAAATCCTCCTTTGTGAATGCTGGCGCCGGTTTCGGCAGGGCTTCGCGTGGCGGCAAGGAGGCAAGAATGCTATCGCTGATGCTCTGCGCCAGAGTAACCATGCGGTCATCATCAAGTTCTTGCATGGGAGGTATAGAAACCAAGGCAGACTTTTTGGTTTCCCCAAAATTTTTTTCGAGGGTCCGTACTTGTGTCAGTAATTCCTTCACGTCCAAAGATTGCTCTTTCAGCTGCTGCTCAACCGTTGATGTCACTCGGTCCGCCACGTCGGCCAGCTTGTCGCAGTACTCTGCAAACATCCCATTCTTGTCCTCTGCCACTGCCTCAACGACAGCAGGAGAAGTCGCACCACGAAGTACGCCCATCAAATCCTTTTTTAGTCGCTTTATGCTGTCCCGCACCTCCTGGACGGCCACCTCGTTCGTCTGCTGGAGACTGTGAACCTCCATTAGCAGCTCCTTCACGTCGGTAAGCCCGGCTGTCGACTCACGCAATTCCTCTAGTCGCTCTCCGTATGAATTCAACAACCCTTCCAGCTCTAACTGCTTCTCGTCAGATGCATCGCCAACAGGAATTGTAGACTCTTTAAAATGTTTTCTTATATCCTTCAGTAACTCTTGCACCTTGTTCTGTGTCCCCTCAACGACTCTTTCCATGGCATGCTGCACAATACCTTGAATCGCATCGAGATTTAAGGATTTGTCTGGTGAAACGGCGGATATGACGGTTCGTTCCAGTACATCTTGGAGGGAGATAGCAAGTTGCTCCTGTTGCGTGCGTGACGCCTGTTCAATAGCTCCAACGACATGCAGGCACACATCTTCAAAAATAGGCTCCATCTTCTTATTCTTCGCGGCAATTGTTTCCCCCAGAGTTTTCTTCAATGACGTCTCCAAATTTGCCACGGCGGATGTGACCTCCTGTGTGAAAGAGGAGAGGTGCTGGGTCTCCGTCTTCCTCAACTTCGCTGCGGCCAGTGAACGTTCCTTCTGAATCACACTAGCAATTCTTGCACAAATAACATCCGAGTTTTCGCCCAACATACGGGAAAATGACACTTCTTGTGTCTGTAAGGTGGCGGAGAGACGCTCCATCTCCTGTCGAAGGCAGTCAGCGACAGCGTTCACGACACCACTCGAGCGGGCATCTTGAGCCGCCTCGGAGGTGTAGCTGCTCAGCTCCAGTTTCTCCTTCACCTGGTCCACAATCACGGTAGCCACGGAGGCCAACTGCTCGGACGAAATTGACACGATCTCCTCTTGTTGTGGTATCGCTCCGTTGTCCACAAAGTTAACCTCGCCCTCTAGCGGGGTGCGGACGCTCACGTCGGCAGCCGAGAGCGAAAGAACGCGCCGCTGCAACTCCGCATCCGCCGGATGCAATTCCGTTTCCACAACGAGTCGTTTCGAGATGTCTACCCCTTTCAGAAGATCTTTTGTCGGGCCGTACCCCTTCGACCGCACCGTCGTCGCTGGTGGCGGCAACGGGAATGGGGATGACGAGACGCAGCGGAGCCCCACACACCGTCGCAGAACCCTGCCAGAAACCCGCCGAACTCGCATTGTGTCCAACAAACTTCCTTTTTTTTATTTTTATTCCTTCTCCTTTTTTTTTTCTTTTCGTTACCCCCCTCTTCTTCCTTTCTTTTCTTTCTTTTTTCTTTATTTTGGACTCACAGCCGAAAACCAACAAAAACTACAACAACAACAACAAAAAGACAAAAAAAGAGCCGGCCGAGCTGCGTTTGGGTGGTAAAAAGGGGAAGAAGAAACAGGAACAATTCATCAGAAGCAGCACACAAGAAAACACGGGGACGATGGCAACAACAACAAAAAGAACAAGAAGGATAAAGTCAATAAACGAGAGCAAACACACAAATACACAGACAGACAGACAGAGAGGGAGAGAGGGAGTGAGGAGAAAAAAAGAAGGGAAAAAGGGCAGACGGAGAAAAAAAAAAAGAAAAAAGCAAGAAAAAGAGAAAGTGACAAAAAAATCAGGTCTTTGCAGCTGGCGGGTGTGTAACCCGAACTGTTGTGGGACAGTGTTACCTCCCATTACATCACGGATGATTGCTATGACCATCTCACCGTCAACGTTCACCCTCGGACGTCCGGCAGGGTTGGATGGAGCAAACGATGTCTGTATTCAACCAGAAAAAGTGGGCTAGCAAATGAAAAGAAAAAGGAATGGCAATGCTCGACGATGAAGAAGAAATTATTATATATATTTTTTTAAAAGTACAATCGACTTCTTTGCCAATGCCTCACATGTCATCACCAGCAGCCCCCCGGTTGTGGCTTCACGCAGCAGTCGGGGCGGAGGTGTCACACCCACCCGCCCTCTCCACCAGAAAAAAAAAAAAAAAGTGCGGGGCCCTCTTTCTTTCTTTCTTTCTTCGTTTCTCTGCATAAACACACACACACACAACCCGCGTCAACAGCAGGTGCTCTCTTCCAAAATTCCCCCCCCCCCCCCCCCCCCAAAAAAAAAAAAAACAACAACAATAATTCAGGGGAGCGGACATCGCCCCTTTTGTCACCTCCCCTGTCTTTCCCTCTTATCTCTCTCTCCTCTTTCTTGACTGCAATTCGCCCAATTCAAAATCGCTGAGACTTTTCTTCTGTTCCCGTGGATGTTTAGTTTCGCTTCTTTTTTTCTTTTCCTTATTTCTTTTATCTTCTCTTCCTCCCGCCCTTCTAGTGGAACGAAAAACAAAAATAATAGTAATAATAATATTAATGGTATTAATATTTGTAATAATGGTAAGACTTCCTCCTTTTTTTTTTTTTTTCCAATCCGAAGTAAAAAAGAAAAGAAAAAAAGAGGGAAAAGCACGACGCATACAAGTAGGAAGGTGATTGCCCCTCAAAAAACGGCTCTTCTTTTTCTCCTCCTTCCCTTCCCTTCCTCTCTCTCTCTCTCTCCCACACTCTACTTTTTTCGTTCTTCTCACTCCCTTCTCGCTCTTCCACACACTCAATCACCTGCTCTACTCTGTCTGACTAAACTAGCGTCTCTGACGAGCCTCTACATGCCTCATTAATTGTCTGATCATACTCCTAACACCCTCAATGTTCTTTGCTTGGCTTGTCAATATACTGTCAACATTTCTACAGTAAGTCTCAATGGATGCGCCTGGCATCTCAACCCCATTTAACTCCGTCATCTCCTGCTTTAGAAGTTCCATCATGGCATCAATGTGACGGCGGTGACCCAAAATCACGTTATCTTCATCATCGTCTAAGGAGTCGGCACTCTCAAACAAACCCATTTCATACGGACTAGCATCACGTATCGACACCTCACTACCAACGCGACTGTGTTTCGGTGTTGCCTTGGGATAGCCAGCCCCTTTGGCAGGCCCAGTGCTGGTAAACTTACTGGAGCGAAGGCTATCCGAAAAATTGGGATAATCATCGTCCTTTGCAAGCTTCCGAGGGCGCTGTTGAGGTGCCTTGGGTCGGTAAGCACCAGTGAATCCACCACCGATGGGTTTCAGGTTTGGCGTACCCAGATCACGTGAGAGCTGACTTGAAGATCGGGCGCCCGCCTTTTTCTCACGCGCCCGTCGCTGGGCAAAGGTTCCACTGAGGCCAAGTGTCTCCACTTCTTCACTCGGCATTTGACCAATCATGATTTCCTCAGCGGCTATGCGAGTCGATTTATCCTTCCTCAGTTCCTTTACGCGATCTGCGTAGCGAAGAGTGTTCAGTGTATGTTCACAACTCCCACTTGCAGGGCTTACATTGCCTATCATGACGGTGCGGCTGTTTCCTGTAAAACAATCCCGGAGCACAGCTGTGAGCTTTGAGCCACGAAAAGGAATATGACGGTGATTTTGGTCAAGAGCCCGGATGCATTCTTTTAATGCAAGCAGGGATTTGTTGATTTCCGCCCCCTCCAGCCGAGTTGTGCGATCGCTGTCAAGAGTATCCGCACCTCGTTCACTACCCGCGAGGTCAATAAACGTGAACCTACCGAAAAAACGTTTTTTGGCACTCAGTACAGTGATGTGAAGAATGGCGTGGGAGCGAGAAGAATCCGCATTCATACCTGTCGATCCTGCCGCGCGAATAGAGTTTCCATAGTCTATAACCCGCATGAGATGACCTGTATCGTCGACACGGTGTTCTGTCAGGCCACAAACATTGATGACACCACGACTATCTTCTCGACACGCAAGCTTTTCGCGTTCGTTGAGCAAGTCAAAAAGCTTGCCCCCATAAATCTCAAAGAAAGAAACCATAATACTCATACCAGATTCTAATCGAGAATACAAATCCCTTGCAGCCATAAGATACACACCTTCCTGGGCGTCTTTTCCAAGCATTGTGAACGTTTTTCCACTGCCTGTTTGACCGTACGCAAAGCAAGTGGCACATCCTCCCTCAAAAACAGTCTCAATCAGTGGTTTACATGTCTTTTCATAAACATCACGATTATTTTGCTTGTCGTCTAGCACCAAATCGTACGTGAAGCGGTGTTTCTCAATGTACTTTGTTAAATCTACTTTTTGCTTCGGCTCCAGAAGGGCAATAACATGTTCGTTATCTGGGTCTGTGGCCAAAACATCGTAGAGGCCTTCGTTCAACTCTGAACTACTTAGTGGACGTTTGCGAACCACAACCGTGATTCGACTCATTTTGCGTTTCGAGGTCCCACCTTCTCCTGTTCTGCGAGCAATAGAAATGGGAGAGGCGTGCGTCGTTCGACTCACAGTACGTGAACTGGGTGTTGCTTTTGATGTTGAGGTATTCATCTCGTCGCCCATGCGAATAGGGTCCCGTCGCAGTATGGGTGTTTGTTTGGTTTCATATAATGAAGAGTTCTCATTCTCCGCCCGAAGTTGTGCGGCTGAGGGTGTGCTATTACGACGGGATGGCGTGGTGGTTCGTGCGGCAGTTGAAGGTGTTGCATGGGAGTTACGATCCGCTTTGCGCGAAATCTCCGCGGTGGGAGAAGAGACAGTGGCAGACGACGTGTTAGCCTGCTCCCTTTTCATGTACTGAATGAGCTCAAAGAGTTTACGACGGTCTGTCATGACAATGACGCCAACCGACTGATAGTCCTGCATTGTGAGCTGTTTCAGCTGCTGCACGCTGGTGACACCGCCATCGATGAAGCCCTGAATGGTGTGTGAGAGGCCTCCCTGCTCCAGAAGGTCCTGCAGTTGTTGCTCCATTGTTGCTTGTTTCCTCCCGTGTGGCTCTTGTCTGTATTTTCACACTTCCCCCCTCTCCCCCCCTTTTTTTTTGTTTTCCTTTTTTTTCTCTCCTCGGGTGGAGGATCTTTTGTAATTGCGGGCGCAAGCGGCAATCGCAGTTCCTCTACCCCCCTTTTTCTTCGCCTCTCCTCGCGTCTGGTTTGCTGCTGGTGTTATGATTATCTGTAAGGCGTGTGGGGTCGGTGTATTCACCGCCGTGACAAACTTTTGGGATATACCCCCCGAAAACACGCATGCATGATTACAGGAAAAAAAAAATAAAAAAAAAAAAAAAAAAATAGGTGACACTGGACATGTGAAACACGCAAACAAAATAAAAATACAAATACACGCTCTTCCTCTCCCTCTATGGATTCCTCCTGAGATGAATGCACCGCAGCGGCGGCAATTTCACTGCCTTTTCCCATGCAGTATTTAAAAAGAAGGCAACATTTATTTATTTGTTTCTTCTTCCGGTGCCTCTTTTTATATAAATATATATATGTGGGAAGAGAGAAAAAAAACACACATTTCTGTTTTTTTTTTTTTTTTTCCTCCCGTTAAATAAATAAATTAAAAAAAAAAAAGATTAAAAAAAAAAAAAAAATGGAATGCCCACAGTATTCCTCCTGTTAAAAGTGGCGGGGCACTTCACCTTCCTCCATGACTATACGTACACGGCACGTCTCCCCTGTGCCGTGGGCATTGACTCACGTGGTGTGTCACGATGAGTTCCCCCACGTTGCAGCTGTAAGCCTTCAACCGACAGAAACTATGGCCCCTCCCCTTGCCAACACATCGTCACATGCCCCACCCTCTCCTCAGAAAAGACTTGTTATTTTCTTCTTCTCATGTCCTAATTTCTTTCTCTTCTCTCCCCCTCCACCCCCCCTTCATCTCCCCATTTTGTTTCCGAAACCCCCGTGCGACAAATTAATCCTCTAACCCCCTTCTCTCACCCACCCACCCACCCACCCCAGCTCTCCATGCGCCTGTACCAACAAAGACATGGGTAGAAGCACACCTCCTCCTCCTTATTCTTCCTATATACCCACTGGTTTTCGGTGTTTCCCGTCAAAAAGGACCCGGTACAAAAGAATCTTCATCTTCCTCGCCATGTTGGGGAAAACACCCGTAGGATCCATCAGAATCCACAGCGAGACAAATTCGTAATACACCAAGGGTGCAAACACCAGAGTGGCACTGAGAAGGATGCGAAGGGCCCCAGCAAGACGGAAGGGGTTCACCAAGAAAATGGCCGCATTAAAGCATTTTTGGGAGAAACTGGGGGTTTTCTCATCGCGACAACTGTACGCACCAGTGCATGTAACCGTGTTAAGGAGATAAAAGATCATCACACGGTAGTAATGAAACAGTAGAGTTAATGAGCTGAGTTCAAGTCCAGAGAGCAGTGAAATGGGGCCATCCACACAGTCGCCTCCAAGCATAAAGTAATCAAGGCATGCATCACGCAGAGGGGGACTCTGGAACACAGCGTAAAGGGCCCAAGAGAGAATGTTGATGGAGCCACAGTGTAAGAAGCGTTTTTGTGAATACTGCAATATCGCTTTTTGAATTCGATCCTCAATTTCCGCCATATCATTAACGTCATTGCCCCGCAGTCTTGGAATGACGGCAAGACTCCTTGCCAAACGAAGTACATCATTAAATGCACATGTCATACCACCACCAGTGAGCGGATGACGCTGATTCGCATGATCTCCCAGGCCCACATAGCCTCTGATCGACGGAAATGTTGCAGGGTAATGTGCCACAGGCATGGAACGAATGCGACTTGTATCCTTTGCGGCGCGAATAAATTCGGAACGCATCTCCGCCGGAAGACTGGGTGCCACTTCTTCAACAAGCCATTTACTTTGTTGCCCCAAATCAGGTAAAGTTGGTTTATTGTAATCAACCAGCATGCGCAGCTCATTTGGATCCAGTCGATAGGACAGAACGGGTCCAGTTTTGGCAAGAAATACCGTGCCATATTTTTCAGAGGGTAGCTGTACATTACGCAAAATGAGCCCAACAAAATTTGAGTGGTAGTCCTGTGCAGGTGTGTAGTGCTGATACTTTGACTTGAACTTTGAGGAGCCGCCGTCACACATAATAATAAGTGGTGCTGTTGCCACGCGCCGCACGATTGCTGTTGTTGTTTCTGTTGACTGGGACTGCGCGGAGACGTCTCTCCTGAATGGCGTTTCAGGCACTTTGTAGTCCTCAGAGATGGAGTACTCCACACCGTAGGCACGCTCGAGAAGGCCCGTGTTCTCTACCAGCACTGTGTTCACCGTAGCTTCCAACATCGTAACATTCGAGGAGCAGTTGTACCAGACATGTTCCCTTAAATTGTTTACAAAATCGCCGAAGTGAAAGGAAACGCCTTGAAAGCCCGCCCCGTACGGCAGTTTCACCCCAACTCCTTTTGCATCCAGCAACATGTACCCTTCGCAGGGCATGCCAACAGAGGTGGCACACCCTTCCATGTTAACTTGTTTCAACGCGTTGATCCCACCGGGCTGCAAGAGTTCACCGACAATGCGATCCGGTTTGACAAAGAGAGAACGCTCAAGCAGTAGAACCTTCCGATTTTGTTCTGAAAGCGCTTTTGCCATCACCGGTCCAGCGATGCTTCCACCTACAATGATGGCATCGTAATCGTAATTGGTGCGGGTGGGCTTAAACCGCAGTCGAGAGAGTACGTGATTGAGTATCAGTACGGTGACCACCACCAGCAAAGTGAAAGTGCAGAACATTTGAAACACCGACTTGTAAACTCCTGGCCGCTTATAATCCCGTTATTATTATTATTATTATATATATTTTTTCTTTTCTATTCTTAAGCTACTGGTCAGCAGCACCAGTCATACTCCAACCAAAGAAGAAAAAAGCAACAACAACAATTCATGACGCATTGAGGGCCAAAGAAATAATAATAATAAAACAATAGAGGAAGGGGGAAAAAAAGGCACTCGGCATGGTGCGGTGACATGCACCACAAAGAGAATTTTTGTTGCCATTTCTTTACGAGGCTCCGATTCCTTTCACGCCTTCATGTCAAAAAAAGAAAAAAAGGATTTTATCTTCTATGAAGTATTCTGTTTCTATCTGTATCTATGTCTCACTGTTGCTTATTAGCGGGGGAAGGGACAAACAAAAACAAAAACAAAAACAACAACAACGACTACTAAACTTCTCTTCTTACCCGCAGCATTACAGCATTTCCTCACGGACAATGGGGCGCAGTGCACCCATGTTTTCACCGGCAACTACATCACATGGGAAGTCTACGGTGATATTCATCTCCGGGTAGAGGCGGTTAAGAACCTCCCGCACGTTACTCATGATTGTCTCCACTTCATACGCGACCTGCAAGAATATATCGGCATGGCAGTCAATCCACACGCAATCGTGCACCGTATTGGTGAGCACTGCAAGTCCATTGTAGTTGTTGTTCCTTAAAAAGTGTCGCCACAGCATGCCCAACATAATCTGCACAATCTCTCCCGCAAATCCTTGCACGGGATAATTTTTAAGGTGTGTTGGGGAAAAATTTGTAGACTTTGCAGACAACGACTTCTCCCGCATTATACCCTCCGGCACGTCAGACTCGGTAAACACGTAACGGCTTCCAGTAATCACGGGAAACATTCCTTTAAAAAACTGGTGCCCTCTTACATTGCGTGAACCATCTTGAATGGAGGCATCAAAGTTGTTCGCGGACAAGGCGACCATGCTGTTGAACGCATCCACACCATGGTATGTCTCCCGCTCCTTTTCAATAAGGTTACGCACCTGATCTTGGGTCAAACCTGTACTTTGACTGATCATTTTTACACCCGCCCCGTACTGTCGCTGAAATGAAAAGATTTTCGCCTGCTGGCGTAGTTTCACAAACTCCGGTTCC